TGGAAGACAGCACAGGAACTCTACTCCAGCAAGCAAAATACCTATGCAATATTTGAAATCGAGTCAACTCTTCATGACCTTCGACAAGGAGAACTCAGTGTCATCCAGTATTACAGTATCCTTAGTCGAAATCGGCGGCAGATGGACGCTTTCGAAGAGCGTCACTGGAACTGCCCCGAGGACGCGAAAAACTTCAAAGTCTTTGTGGAAGAAAAGTGAGTCTTTAAATTCCTGCTAGGGCTAAACAAAAATCTTGACGCGATTCGAGGACGTGTTTTGAGCACCAAACCCTTGCCGAGTCTTCGAGAAGTTTTTTCTGAGGTTCGATGCGAGGAGAGTCGTCAGAAGATCATGATGGGAGAGAATGACCAATCTCACCAGACTGAAAATTCTTTAGCTCTCACAACCCAAACGATTGACAGTTGAACGAAGAAGACAAGGCTCTGGTGCGACCACTGTCGGAAGCTAGGGCACACTCGGGAACGTTACTAGAAGCTTCACGGCAAGCCAAGTGACTGGAAACCACCTTCGGGTGAGTGAAAAATGTCGAAAGCAGAGACCTCCAGCAAGCTTTGAGGAAATCACGTGACGGCTGAGGAAGTAATTTTTGATGAGATGGGAAAAGACCCATTTACCCCTGAACAGTTGGAAGCCCTCCAACAAATCTTGTCCAAGAAATCTCACTCGGTCAGTGCCTCTGTGGTATACAAAAGTAATATTCATGGTTTATCTGTTCTTTTAAAAAAAGGACAGGTGTGGGTGGTAGACTCTGGTGTATCTGATCATATGAGTGGCGATTTCTTAATATTCCAAAATTACAGAAAATGTGAAGAAAATATTTCAATCAGAATTGCCTATGGTTCTCTCTCAAAAGTGGCAGGAATGGGTTTTGTAAATTTGTCTCCAAATTTAACTCTCTGTTCACTTCTCCATGTTCCGAATTTGGATTGTAATTTGTTGTCTGTCAGCAAGCTATGTGAAGATTTGAAATGTGCTGCGAAATTTGTTTTTAATATGTGTAATTTTTAGGATTTGGACTCGGGGATGACGATTGGCAGTGCTAGGATGAGCTCGGGATTATATTTGCTTCAAGTCAACACCTCTAAAAAACAAGCTCACAATGCAGTATGTGAAAACTCTGTTCTTATTTCCAAAAATTATGATCATGATATTATGTTGTGCCACTATAGACTAGGACATTCAAACTTCATGTACTTAAAAAGGATGTTTCCACTACTATTTAAAGGAAAAGATCCAGTTTCATTACAGTGTGAAGTTTGCCAATTTTCTAAACATACTCGAAGTTCATTCCATAGTCTATCATATAAACCATCTAAACCATTTGCATTAATTCACAGTGATGTTTGGGGCCCTTTCAGGGTTTCCAACGTTTCTGGAACTAGGTGATTTGTATCTTTTATTGATGACCATACAAGAATTACTTGGGTATTTCTCATGAAGGAAAAATCTGAAGTGGGATCCCTATTTAAAAAATTTCATACAATGATTCGAACCCAATTTCATGCTACCATCCAAGTATTGAAATCCTACAATACTTGTGAATATTTTGAAAATACTTTTGAAAAATACTTTACTGAACATGACATTATTCATCAAACCTCCTGCGTTCATACTCCACAGCAAAACGGCATAGTCGAAAGAAAAAACAGACATATTCTTGAGGTTGTTAGATCTCTCATGTTCACCACACATGTACCAAAATATCTTTGGGGAGAGGCTGTCCTTACAACTACCTATTTGATTAATCGGATGCCCTCCCGTATTCTACAGTTTCAATCATCATACACTATCCTCTCAAAAATCTTTCCTGATTCTCACATCTTAAACACTTTGCCACTTAAAGTATTTGGGTGTTTAGCATATGTCCACATTCATAAACATCTTCGTGGAAAATTAGATCCAAGAGCAATAAAGTGTATTTTTGTTGGGTACTCAGCAAATCAAAAAGGATACAAATGTCTAGTTCCGGAAATTCACCGATTTTATAATACCATGGCCGTCACTTTTTTTGAGAATTAACCATTTTATCCCACCACTGATATTCAGGGGGAGACATTCACTCAGGAATATCAGTTGTGGGATGTGTGTGTATCACCTCTCTACCCATAAAATCCATCACCAGACAAACCTTCCTTGGAGATTGAACCCGAAACCTCACAAAAGAAATCAGAACCAAAACCTATTATAGAAAGCACATTACCTGCAATGAATGAGTTACGTGTCTATACAAGAAGAAACAAAGGAAAAACACCCGAATCATCCAAGCACTGCCATGACTTCCCCATTGATCCAGGTAACGTAATCTCTGTACTAACTCTTAATTCCGTTGATTCTGATATTCCTATTGTTTTGAGGAAGGGCACTCGAATATGCACCAAACATCCTATACAGGACTATGTTTCATTGGACAAATTATCCTCGGAACATCATGCTTTTGTGAGCAGGATAGACAGCAATTCACCTGAACCCAGAACAATACATGAGGCCTTGGAAATTGCAGAATGGAAGTTAGCTGTCCTAGATGAGATCAGGGCACTTGAAAAGAATGAGCATGAAAACTACTGATCTTCCTTCAAGAAAGTGTCAAATGAGATGCAAATGGGTTTTTACAACCAAATATAATCCAGATGGGAGTGTGAACAGGCTTAAGGCCCGCCTGGTAGCCAAAAGTTATACACAATCATATGGTATAGATTATCAGGAGATGTTTGCACCAGTTGCCAAGTACAATACTATTCGAGTACTCCTCTCACTTGCATCTAACCTAGACTGACCATTGTATCAATTAGATGTAAAGAATGCATTCCTTAATGGCGATTTGGAAGAAGTGTATATGAATATACCACCAGGGTTTGAATTAACTGACAACTTTCAGAAAATGTATAAATTGAAGAAATCACTCTATGACCTAAAACTATCTCCAAGAGCATGGTTTGACAGATTCACAAGAGCTGTAAAACATAAAAGATATGAACAATGTCAATCCAACTATACATTGTTCCTCAAACATTGCATATCAGGTAAAAAGGCTATTTTGATTGTATATGTTGATGATATCATTCTTACAGGAGATCACATTGAGTAGATTCAGAAACTTAAAGAATTTTTGTCCAAAGAATTTGAATAAAAGATCTTGGAGTACTAAAGTACTTTCTCGGTATGGAAATAGCTAGATAAAAAAAGGAGATATCAGTTTCTCAACGAAAGTACATTCTGGATCTCCTAAAAGAGACTGGAATGCTAGGAAGTAAGCCTGCTGACATCCCTATGGACTCAGTCATCAAACTTGGATCCAGAATCAGTAATAAAATGGTTGACAAAGGGAGATACCAAAGACTAGTTGAGAAACTTATTTACTTGGCTCACATAAGAGCAGACATTAGTTTTGCAGTAAATACAGTAAGTCAGTTCATGCATCAGCCAACAGAAGATCACATGAGTGCTATGTATCGGATTCTGAGATATATCAAGAAAACTCCAGGATAAGGTTTATTCTTTCAAAAAACAGACAGAAGGGGTGTTGAAATTTACACGGATGCGGATTGGGCAGGTTTTACAAACGACAGGAGATCTACATCAGGATATTGTACTTATGTTTGGGGTAACCTGGTTACTCGGAGAAGCAAGAAACAGTCTGTTGTGTCTTGCAGCAGTGCAGAATCTGAATTTAGAGCGCTTGTTCATGGTATTTGTGAAGGTGTATGGTTGAAGAGAATACTTGAAAAATTAAAAGTTCTCAACAATATGCCTATAAATGTATGGTGCGACAATCAATCAACAATTAGTATGGCCAAAAATCCTGTACATCACGATAAAACTAAATATGTGGAGATTGATCGTCATTTCGTTAGAGAAAAATTGGAAGATGGGACTATAACTCTGATGCATATTTCAACCAATCAACAGATCGCAGATATTTTAATTAAAACTTTTCCTAAGAGAACCTTAGATAACATAATATCCAATTTAGATTTACTCAACATATATGTAAACTAGATTGAGGGGGAGTGTAGAAAATATAATAATTAGAAGAATAAATTAAGATTAAAAATGGTTATTTACAACTGTTATGTGCTGTAAATGGAGGGAATCACCAACAAATTTGTTACAACAAATTTGTACTTAGAAATAGAATTTTGTTAGGTTTCTCTCCAAAATTTGTTAAGTTGTTAGGGTATTAGACTTCTATATATATGTGTGGAAATCATTCATCAAAAGAATGAAAATATTTTCTCTCAATTTTCTTCAGTACTAATATTTTTGTTGCATGTAATGTACTGATATCATTCTTCATTTTTATTCTTGGGGTTTGCATGGGAAGTTTTCATTTTTTTTTTACAGTGGTAATGCAATTGTTTACGCAATTGAATATAACTTTGCAAAACTTCATATTTGGTGCTAGGATTACAAAGAAGCAGCAAGAATTCGTGATTCTTTGAAATCATTTGAAGAGGAAGAGCCAGTTCTACAACTTCGCCGCTTGATGAGAGAGGCCGTGATTGATGAGAGGTTTGAGGTATCCCAATTCAAGATTTCCTTTTGGCCTTTTCTTTACTTGAGCTAATTACATATGCTCCATACTTACAAGTGGGGTGTTTATTTGGGATATTGAAGATCCAATGCCATTCTTACTAAAATGATGATGGTTGGTTTTAATCAATGTGTCTAGTTTGTTAGCGATGTAGGCTTTTTGAGGAAAAATTAGAGATCATCTCCCTACTTAGAGAATAGGGATCAAATCTACATATTAAGTCTAGAAAGTTTCTTAGATATTCCACATAAGAATAGGTTTCAACACCTAATGTGATTGCTCAACAGAATCACAAAGCATGGGTTACTACGAATTCAATGTGTTATGCTCTTAAGCACTTGAGTATTTATAGATTCTAATTTATATCTAATCTAATTACTGCTAGAAATTTAATAAGAAACGTAAAAAATTTAAACCGTAAATAAAGGCCATGTAGGGGAAGAGAGAGAGATATATGAGGCAATAGAGAAAATGGGAAAGTAAGCAGGCAGAATAATCAGGTTTCGCTAGAATTAAGGCAATAATCAGCTTTGATTGACTCTTCTAAGAATGTAGATTTGCATGAAATTGTGTTTGTCAAGTGTGTATTTGGAGACTGTCAGCTAGGCAGAGGAGGTAGCTTGTCCCACGTGGCACTGAAAGTGGCAGAGAAGTATGCAAGAGTTTGTGATTGCAGAAAAGGTGTGCAAGCAATGTCTAGGTCTGAATCTTGGCAACTTCTATCTTTACCGTGTGTCTTGTGGTTTCAGTCCCAAGAAGGGTTCTCAGGCACATTTAAAGATGATCAGGTTGGGCTATGAATCTAGGGAGAGGCTGAAGAAATTTGGGTTTGGTGGAGGATCAATGCTTGCATTTGAAATCAATCCTTTGAGACAAAAAGCTTCTCCATGCATATTTGGATAGCATCTCTAGATTGACTTGGGTTTTATAATAAGTTTCACCATGTAAGTCGCTTCAACTATACACGCCGTTGGCTTGGTTGAAGCACCGAAATGAAGAAGAGAAAAGGAATGTTGAAGGTGTAGTTGAAAATTTCTCAGAAAGCCTGAAATAGAATAGAATTACAAGTAGATAAAATGATTATTTTTGCTCAACAGTTGATGCCCCATACTTGTCATATAGCTTTGACAAGAGGCAAACAGTATTGGTTCCTAACCACCATTTATCACCATAACAACAAGGTGATCTTTGAGGACTGGATTATGATTTGTGCAGACGTCGTCTCCATTTAGTGTTTGAAGGATCAGTGTTAGTTGGGATAGTTAGTTGTGATGCACTATACCATATATTGGGTTATATGGTATAGTGTAATAGCAATTATCGTTGAGTATTTGAGGAGAGCAGGGTGAATAAAATATTTGGATTCATTTGGTCTCTCTTTCTCTATATATTCTCCTCTAAAACTCTATCTGAAGGTCTTTCTCTCTTTTATTTTTCTTATTTCTTTTTGTTGTCATTTATTCTACTTGTTTTTGGGAATCTTCATCTTGAAAATAAGAACTTCATATTATAGTCAGATTCAAGATCAGTTAATTTGGCAACTAGCAAGTGTTGGACAACCTTAGTAACATGCCTAGAACATGTTACCCTTCTGCTAATATTTGGAACACATTTAGAAAATTCTCTCTTAATGCATTAATTGAGTTTTGATGGTATCTAGTTGTTATTATTTTTGGAAGAGCGTTCAGCTTTGTGGTTGTCTTAATGATGTGGAACCCATGATCAACTAGTATGATCAAAACACTACATATTCTCTAGTATTTAGAATATTTAAACTCTCAACAAATCCTTCCTATGTAACCCAATAATTCATCTGAAATTATCAACTAAAGTGATTGAGATAATTTGAATTGATTAAAAACGTCACAAGTATGAAGTTGATAAGTCAAAAATCAATTCGAAATAAAAAATTGATAAGACACCACAAGGGATTATTTTGATAAGTTGAATAAATCCTCCACTCAACAAAATGGTTGAAAAACCCTCTTAAAGAGTAATCGCAATAGCATAAGCTAAGGTAAACTTTAATTTATTAATTTGGCATAATTGATGAATAAATTACAACTTAAAAGTGGTGGCCTTTATATAGTCATTCACTTTACATATTTGAATAAAACTTAAAAATTAGAATCTTAATTAAATTCCTTAACTCAATTTAGGAAAGCATTAAAATAAACAACTTAATTAAAACATAAACTCTTCTCTCTTGAGATGAAAGAGTATTGTGGTTGAATTCTCCATGCTTTATTTGACTTGAATTTGGTAGTCAATATTTAATTAATTCTTGTGGTAGAAGTTGAGTTGAAGATGCTTTAAAAGCTTCCAAGTTGAAGTAGAAAACAATTTCTTTTCTATGAGAAAATCAAGGATAAAATCCAAGAGAAATCTAAGAGAAAATTTAGGAAATAATCCAAGAAAAAATTTAGGAGAAAATCTACAAAAAAATCTAGGAAATAATCCAAGAGAAATCTAGGAGAAAATATAGGGAAAAAAATTCTTGAAAATAGTCCAATTTTTTTTTTGTTTTTTGAAATAAAAGAGAAAGAATATTATTATGTGCAAAGGTACCAAAGGGATACCACCCGAAAACACAAAATAGAAAATAGTCCAACATTATCCATGAGAAAATTAAGGATGAGAATTTGGATAGGAATCTTTTGGCCAAATTCACTTTGAATTCTTTTTTCTTCTTTGCTTGATAATTTGTCATTTCCTTTGAAGTAGAATTCCTATGCACTTAGTTCATTAATTTAGTTAAAGCTCTATTAAAAAAGGAATCCCAATTTGCCTTTAATTCAGTCACCAAAAGGAAGAGAAGTGAGAATTCTCCCTGGGTTACGATTCCCTCGGGGCGGGAATTCTTTTTCCTCTAGAACTTTTCACGTGAGTTCTTTTCTTTCTAGGATGTGTTCTTGGTTCTCTTCTAGGACTCTTCTTCTTATCCACAAGTAGATTTCTCCTTGGCATGGTACTTTTCATGAAATTCAAAAGAAGAAACTGTTTTGGGCATGGACTCTTCATAGGAGAGGGAGATCCTGTGTGGGCAGGACTCTTTCTTCCCTCCACTTCTCGGAATTCTACTTCGACTTTCGGGTTTTTTTGTGGTTTGGTTGTGCTCAGATCACTTAGTGGTAGTCAACACAAAGTGTTCAAATTGCCTTCATGAAAGGGTAACCTCCACTTCAATTGAATAAATGAGAGAGTACATGTCAAAAGTTCTTGGAGGTTATGGTGTGTGTGCATTCTCTTTGGGTACCAGTTAGCTGGTTACTTTTCCTTTCAAAAAATGAAAGGGTTAGCTGGTTTGGAATGTTGACCTTATTAAGAAATTTGAATGGCTGGGAATCTCCTTAATCATTTTGCTTGGTGGATCACTTGAGGTGCAGTGAACTGGTGTTAAAGCTGGGTAATAATCTAACTAGTGTGCTTTTACCTTGGATTCCTTTTCCTGTTGGTTCCTTTAGAAGGGTGTATACTCACTGTAGACAATCTTCACTTTTCAGAAGAAGGGGAAGATCTTACTGCATGGTTTTTATTTGACTAAGGGGTTAGCTGAGACTCCAAATCTTTCTGTTCCAGTACCTTTGGTGCCCAATCTTCATTTCCTTAATTTGAATTTTGTCCGAGCTGGGTTTCTTGTGGATGAGTTATGGGCTTAGCAGAGTATCTGGAGTGGTATTGGAAGAAGTAAGCCAATCTCTCTTATTGCCTTGACTACCTTGTGGGTATTTTGAAATAGAGGAACTGTAAGGATTTTGAGGATTTCGTTTTTTTATTGACAGCTGGCTGCAGACCCTTTTTTTTTAAGGGTTATTCTTCTACTGGTGAGAATTTGGTAAACCTTATAGATATAGTGATTGAGGTGTAAACATTTTTTGCATATGGGTGGTAATCCCTTGATGCCTTGTTTGTAATATCTCATATTTTCTTTAAAAGAAGTCATGAGAACTGCTGGTGGAGAGCTAGTTTTGGTGAAACCATATTATACAAATTTGGGTTAAACTGGGAAAAATAGATTAGATTTGAGCAAATTCTTCTCATGTGTTGTGCATGTGCAAGGTTCATATGCTGGCCTTTTGACAGTTCTATGTCAATTGTTATCTTCCTTTGCACGTTGCCAGGATTTTACAAAATTGAGAACAAAAAGGGATGACTCTTTGCACTGTGATGTGTGGAACTGTCGGCTGGTTTGCTGGAAATTGATTGTTAGAGTGGTAGATGGTGTTTTGAGTTTGATGGTGGCAGACTTATGTACATCAGCTCCCTTCAAGGCCTGCTATCTATGGCAACGTAAATGAGTCTGGGGTTTGTTTTAGAGTTTTCTGCAATTTTATTTTATTTTATTTTCTTTTATTTGAAATAAAAGTGTAGAGTTGTATTGATGTTAGAGTGCCAATGGGGCACAACCCATTTACAATATATTTACAAATCGATTAAACTATCGACGATAAAACCAAAATCATCAAGACAATCGATGTTATGTCCCAAAATAATGGAATTAAAATAGTGAAACCAACAATCAATGAGTTTGTTAAAATCAAGTTCTATTCCTTCAAAAGCGTGATTGTTTATCTCTTTCCAAAGGGTCCATATTATGGTGAGTAGGATTAATCTTAGCATTTTTCTCTTGCTGCTGATGTCTTCCCATGCTAGGAGTTCAGCATGAATGTTGTTCATGATCCAAGATAGCCCCATAAGACTAATAATGGTGTTCCATAGGTATTGTGAAACCGAACAGCCTAAAAGTAGATTGTTATATGTTTCAAAATTGTTTTTACATAGGAAACATTTATTGGCAATTGTAAAACTTCTTTTCATTAGGTTGTCAAGGGTAAGAATGCGGCTTTTTGCACCTTCCCAAGCAAAAAATAAAATTTTTGGAGTTGCACCCGATTTCCATATTATGTTGGAAGGGAAGTTAATGTTGTCCTGATTAAAATTGACTGCTAAGTGGTTGTAGAGAGATTTGACAGTGAAAGTACTATTTTTGGAGAGTAACCATTTTAGATTGTCCTTCTTGTCATAGATTTGAATTGAAGAAAGAGTTTGTAGTAAGGATAAATATTCCTCTAACTCTCAGTCTTGTAAGTTTCTTAATACTGACACTTGCCAAAAGCCTTGTTTGTCAAGAACCGTGCATTTTTAACCAAAATATTGATGTCCCTGACAATAGCATAAATAAGAGAGAATCTTATTTGAAGAGTAGACTTGTCATGCCATATGTCAGACCAAAATTTTATTTTCTTGCCCATCCCAATAACTCAACTAGGGTGTTGTAGAATGATATTGTTTAGTTTCCAGATGTTTTTCCAAAGGCTCGAACCAAATGTGCTATTTTTAATTCTAGATTGATCATGATAGTCACCATTGAACCATTTACACAATATGATTGATTTCCATAGGCTATTACTTTCGGTCTAGAATCTCCAAATTCATTTCTCAAGAAGGGCCTTGTTAAGTGTGATTATAGATCTCAAGCCCAAACCACCCTCTTTGATAGGTTTTTTGATTTCTTTCCAGTTTACAAGGTGGATTTTCTTATTGTTATTATCATCATCTCCCTAGAGAAAGTTGCATTGAATGGATTCCAAAGTGTTGGCAACACAAGTGTTGAACACCGAAAGGAGATAAATAGGGGGATTAGATAGGGTGCTTTTAATGAGAGGTAATCGTTCCCCATTTGATAGGAATTTCTTCTTTCAGTTGGCAAGTCGGTTTTGAAACATATCAATGATCGGATCCCAACATTTTCTGTCTTTGTATTTGACCTCAACAGGGGTGCCAAGATACGGGATGGGTAATTGAGAAACTTTGCAACCCAGAATCTGTGTCAAGGATCTGTTTGGGATTTGGGATTTGTTTGCAATGAGGTTTAGGAATTTGGAAATTTGGTAGTAAATTAGGACCTTTGGCTTTGATTGATCTGAATTGAATAAATTAAGTATGATTATCTATTGGAGGTTAGGGATCAAACCTCGAGATAATACTAGTTTCATAGATGTTACACCTAGGAATAAAATTTCTCAAGCATTAGTTAAGGTCTATTGCATTACACAATCACAAAGCATAAGATGTCATGACAATTATTATTACTATTATTATTTTTCTCTCAGTTATTATTATTCACTTGAAAGATAATGTGGGGTATTTGTTGATAACCATATTTTATTATTTAATTATTTTAATTTATTATTTAATTAGTTAAGATGGTGTAATTAAAAATCTACTAGAATAATAATCATTTATAATTAGGATTTTAATAGAATAGTTATTTTTTAATTAGTAGGTTGAGAATTTTATAAATACTCCAAAAGTAATAACCTAAAGAATGAAAAATAAAATTATATTTTCTCCGAAAATCAATATGGTATCAGAGTCAAATATAGCTATTTTAGAGTTTTAATTTCATAATTTTTTTTCAAACCTTAAAATAACACAATGTGTTGGGTTGAAACCCATTTATCAAGATCTACTCTTAATACCACCCTAGAAAGCTAGCTTGGAGAGAGAGAGAGCCTGATCAGATTTGAGGAAGAAGCTGAAGAGTTGCTACACAAACTAGATCCGGTTCGGACCCGATCCCTGCAGCTGAAACTTCTCCGGCGCCCAGTATCTTGATGGAATGATTTGTGCGCAGCAGGTCAGATCCGTTTGTCTAGATTGGCGCGAGGAGAAAGCCGTGTTTGTGCGACCTTCATTGCAGATCTGAAGCGGAGGAAGTTCTGACGTGCGTGGCTCGCATGAAGGAGACAGATCGCGACAGTAGAAGCTTCGGCGCAGGGAGAGCAGAAGACAGATCCTTGTATGCGAAAACAGAGTGCCAGAGTAGACAAACTAGCCGCGGGGGCTCGCTTTGCGCGAAGGTGTTTTTCGGCGGTTCGACGCGCTCTCACTAGATCCGTGCCGAATCTAAACCCACCGGTGTTTTCTGTCGTGATTGCCAGTGAAATCGTGATGGCGTGTGGAGGCCAGCGGCGGTGCGTGGCAGTTTTGGCGGTAATGCGTGGCAGTTCCGGTGGGGCTCGTGGTGGTCCAGTGGTTGGGCATTCAAGGGCGTGTAGCGACGCGTGAGATCTTGTGTGTTATGGAGTTCAAACCGTTTTAGAGCCGAGTCTGAGCCGTTTTAGAGTCGAGTCCAAATCGTTTTAAAGCCAAGTTCGAGCTGTTTTAGAGCCGTGTCCGAGCCATTTTAGAGTTGAATCTGAGCTGTTTTCAGCCGTATGGAGTCGTTTTGAACCAAGTTAAGCTGTTTGAGCCGAGCTGAGTCAAGCTGCTTCCTGACATATCTGGTTCCAGTTTGCAGCACTTTTTTTTTGCATCATTTCATACTGATTAGAAGGATGATTTTTCAGAACTTGATTTGCAGGTTGCGCATGTGTGATATCCTTGCACTAACTTGAAAGGGGGTGTTGACAACCATATTTTATTATTAATTATTTTAATTTTTTATTTAATTAGTTAAGATGATATAATTAGAATTTTAGTAAAATATTTATTTTCTAATTAATAGGTTAAAAATTTTATAAATATCTCAAGTGTAATAATTTAAAAAGTGAAAAATAAAATTATTTTTTCTCTAAAAATCTACAGTATTTTATAGGCTAATCTAATCCAATCTAATTAGAACTAAAAATTCTAAGAAACTTCCTGACCTAATATAACTATCTAAACCTCCTCCGCATTACTTCTTCCTCCAAACTGTATATTTTTGGTTGCTCTTCTGTCTTTATCCATTGTCTTTTGTACCACTATCATGATCATGGTGATTATAACTAGAACACCATTTTTTGCTGAAGGGCATGGAGACCCCTGAAAATTTCTGAGAATTCTAGTTATCCTACTGCACATCTTATGACTTAATTTCTAATGATGAGATCTGCAATTGATTTCTAACCTTGTTGTTTATAAACTCTTCCTGGTTCATTTTCTAATATTGCAGAAGGATCTTTCTTGACTTTGGATAAAGTCTATCTTTAAGTTATCAGTATGTCATTGGATACTTTATAACTTATAGTTCTAGTAGGGACGAAAGTTTGGAATATCTTTGAAAAGTGATTCAGGTAGATGCTTCTTTACTGTGTCAGTTATCTTCCTGATAGATTCTTCTCGTTAATAATTCTTTGCTAGGATGCTGCGAAGTATCGCGATGAGCTAAAGGAAATTGCACCACACACTCTCTTGAAGTGTTCAAGTGATGCAACAACTTTGGTAAGGGAATGATATAATTACTGTAGGGTGATTTTCTTTTGGTATTTATAGCGCCTTATTTCTTTGACTTAGTTGTTTTATCAAGTCAAAATTTTCTTAATCTAAAACATATTCTTGCAAGTGCTGTAATATTGACATGTATTGCAGTTTGATAATTGCTCTTCAATCTTCATGGGTGCTTTTTTGAAACTCACTTCTTTATCTGCCTTCCTTGATAAAAGATCATTTAAACAAAGAAGGTGCTTATGGAAAGGACTTTGTTGAAAATTGTTGCAAAAGGAGAGGAAAAGGCAATAAATTTTTAAAAAAGAAGAATGAAAATTACGTGGACAGAATAGCTGAAATAGATATTTGTCTTTTTCCTTTTTCAGGGCATCAGGATTCAAGTTAGGAGTGTTTATATTGAAGGCCGTAGCCAACCTCTAAAGGGGCAATACTTTTTTGCATATAGAATAAGAATCACCAATAACTCTGATCGTCCTGTTCAACTTCTCAGAAGACATTGGATTATTACTGATGCAAATGGAAAGACTGAGAATGTGTGGTCTGTACTCTAATTTATGCCATCTGCTAGCTCATTGGCACAGAATGCAGATATTATTTACTTGTCCAACTTTAACTTCTTGTTCTTTTGCCTTTCTGCAGGGGAATCGGAGTCATAGGTGAACAGCCTGTTATACTTCCAAAGACAGGTTTTGAATACTCGTCTGCCTGTCCATTGAGCACTCCCAATGGCAGAATGGTAAGGATTATTTCTTCCATGAATACCTTATATGTCTTGCAGTCCAGGGTCAGAAATGCTTGATTCTTTTCTTTCCTAGTGCTGGTTGCTTCCAAAAAATCATAATTTATCCAACTCCTTAATCCATTCATGAAATGGGAAAAGGGTTTTCCTAAAAAGTGCATGCTGCTAGTCTGTGGTATTTTTCACACTGATTCAATTTTCCTTTTTGGAAAGGTGTGGTGACTCATAATATTGCCAAGCAAGCCTGCTGAAAATTAATTCCTTTTGGGAGTAGCTTTCATGTTGAAATCTATATGTTATATGTTGTTTCTTATCGGTATTTTTCTCATTACGATACGACTCCTAGAGCTCCTGGACTACTATATTGATTAATATTGGACCTGAAAACTCATGTTTTTGGTGTTCCAATGTGATACAGGAAGGTGACTTTGAGATGAAACACATTGATAAGATTGGGACACAGACTTTCAATGTGGTAATTGCTCCATTTTCTCTCTCTACACTGGGAGATGAGGTTGATTTCTATGAAGTATAAATTTTGACATCTCAATGAAGAGGTAGAAGACCTGCATTGTGGATACGCATTCGAGTTATTGCAAACTGAAGGTTCACTTGTAAAGCATTGTATTTATAACTTTAAGTGTAAAGATCACCCCATCAGTGGGGAATATAGGTCAGAGTTAACATTTTCACATCAGATATAAATTATCAAAATTATGTAACGATTAAACTAAAAATATGCTGGAATTAATATACCATATAGAATCTGGGACAGTTTTTAGTTGTTTGAAGCATTATGTTCATGTTGAAGTTAGTATTGTTATCTAACTTTCTATCTGCGGCACGTGCTGCATGTTGATGTTTAGGGCTCAAGGAAGGCCTCTTGGCTTCATGCAACTTTTATTGTCATACACATACATGAAAATTTCATTGATGCTAAGCTCTAGTCTTGTGGGTGGGATCATTAGTTGGATGAGCCAAAAGTGAAGAAGATTAGTTTGTTTATGTTATTTAGAGAAGTAGGGCATACGTTTTTATCTGCAGCCAAAGGGAGCAGGGAGGACGTGTCTATTTTCACTTGCTAAATGGTTGGTTAATTGGTTTTGCGTATGGACAGGGTTTGTTTATAATTGCTGGTCATTTCAATGCCTAAATCGTGGAGCTAATTGCCCAAGGAATTGGGCATGTAAGGTATATATATATATATATATGCTATATATATATATTATGCACCTAGTTCCAACACTGTTTGCTCATGCTTCTTGTACCTTTCAATGTCAAAGTCCTCACATATTCTGCAATACTTTGTTGTGGAAGCCTTGCAGCTAGCTACTTAGGTTCCAAGATCCCCCGGGAGTTCTCTCTAAACATGATAGGTATCTATCTCTTCTCTCTCTCTCTCTCTCTCTCTCTCTTGCACCTTAATTAGTTAGATATGCATATATGTATGAGCAATATTATAATATAGATGTATGTACTCTCTTACCATCGAAATATATATATATATATATATATGGATGTGCTCCCCTCTTAATTGTTCTGAGAACTATTGGTAGTATGTAGTATTTTTCTTATTTTTGTTGATTGGTTACTTGAGAAGAGAAATAAAGCTGACGAAGTTTTCATCTTCCTGAATTCTATTCCACATCCTTAAAATTTAGAAAAAAACTGAAGGAAGAATACTCCTTTTTTCTTTTTGGGAGGGAGCAGAAGAGATTATAGCGTAGGCATGCCACCGAAGGGGTTGTTGGGTTTATTTCTCTTAATGTTTTAAGTTATTCCCTCCCATCTGAAATTGTCTGGGCATAAGAATTCAATTCTGACTTCAACCAAACAGACAATCTCTAAGTATATTTATCATTCTCTCCAAAATAAATAATGCACTGAAGACAAAAACAAGAGTAAAGTTTAATTGCTCTCAAAACATCTTGTGGGTACATAAAAGAGTCAAGTTTTACTTGCATGCATGTTTTTATTAGAAGAATAACTTAGCTTTAGATGTAATTATATACTATGATTATGTGTAATATATTATGATGATTATGACTAACTAATTATTAGGGTGGGTTAGTGCATGCAAGAAAGTCCTTCAAGCACATTTCTAGCTTTTATATATATATATATATATGCTGGAAGAGAAGAAAGCAGACAGACGATCAGGCGTTTTGGACACAAACCATGGAAATTCCAAAACAAAAACAAGAAAGGAACAAAAGACAAAACCTACCAACTTCACACATTTTGGGTTTCGAAACGGTGCGCGTATAGATTCTTTCTGTCTGTGTGTTTTGTGTTTCAAAAGGGGGAGGGAGAGAGGGTTAATTTTAGTATATCAATATTTATTTGAAGATATCTTTAACTACTAAAAAAAAAAAATAAATGAATAAACCTAATAAAATCATTAATTTGCTTAATGTGGGCTATAATAAGAGATGAAAGTTATTGCAATTATTATTATTATATATATACATATATCTTTAATTTCAAGTTCCAATTCACCTTGAATAAAAGTTCATTTTTTTGTATCACTCAAATAAAATAAAAAGAATTTTTGTCGTTTTATTAAATAATTCTCCTTAAAAAATTATGTTCTAAAACACATTTTGAAGAAAAGTTAGGAGAGTTGCCTACTTAGAATGTAACACCCAAAATTTGTATTTTTATTATTTAATTTATTTTAATTTTTATTAGAATTTTTATTTAATTTTATTCTATTTTAATATTTAATTTATAAAGTTTTAATTTAATTTAATTTAATTTAATAGAAATAAAAATAAAAATAAAAATAAAATAGGGTAAAATTATTTTTGGGATTTAATTGAAATTGATTTTGGGAAAAAAGGGTTAAAATTTAGATTCTAATGGTATTTTTAAAAAGAAAATCGAAAATCAAGGGTCAAAATATAATTTAAAAAAATAGTGCCATGTCATCAACCACGACAGCAGCCCCGGCCAACCAGGACACGTCACGTGGCAACGGAGACACGTGGACGATCCGCGTGCGCGCGATCGGACGGCCCAGATCCGTTCCCGCGCACACGGACCGCCCAGATCAAAGGCGCGTGTGGACGACCAAGATCTCACGCATGCGGACGGCATAGATTGCATTGCGATAGACGGTCCATATTTATTTCCAATTTAATCGCGATCGGACGGTTCAGATTAAATCATGATGGATGGCTCAGATTAAAAGGGGAGGGTTATAAATAATCGCATCCACACCCAACCCCAAACCCTAGCCGCCAGAACCCTTGCCGGAGAAGATGACCCAGCCACCGGAGGAACTGGCCGCCGCCACCCGCCGCCGTACCGGAGGACTTTTCGGCTGCCAAACGAGGTAAAAATTCTCCCATTGGCTCGTTTTTCGATGCCAAACCTCCCTGTAGCCAAATCACCAGTCGATTGGCTGGAAAACACCAACGAAGTCTAGCGGTGCTGTTGCGGGTTTCCTCAATTTTTGCCTCCGATGAGGCCCTTCCCGTTTCCCGTTCGATGTAATTTTTATACCACTATGACTACCATCCTTTTCTCTACAGGTTGACCAGAGCAAAACACCGAATTGCAACTCGCGTCGGAGGAGCCGCAGCACCCGAGAGCTTCGCCGTCGGTAAGTCTCGATTTTTTAGAATTTTTTGGCCCACCGAGGGCCCTAGGGGTGTTTTATCACATGAACCAATGCAAGTTTGGCTGAATTCGACCGAAAACGGCCAACCCGAGGTGGATCACTGCCGTGCCGGAATTCCAAAATTGGCTGAAAGGGCCCTAGATCTGATTTGGAATTTTTTGGGGACATGTGCAGGTATCAGAAGTGTGTTTCAGTTTTCGAGAAAAAAATTCAGGGAATCTAGGGACTTCCCGTAGGCGTAGTGAGAACCCGATTTCAGACTCCGAAACAAGTAAGGATCTCTCACCTTATTTCTTATCGCGGCATTAAAGCCTAATAAATGATAAAACGATATTTTATGAATTAATAGATATGTATAATTGATTAAGGTTACTAATGGAGCCTGAATCTGATATATTTTCGGTCAGGTGTTGTTTGATTTATTTTACAATTTTAAATGCAGTATGGTGTCTGATGTGTTTATTCTATGGTTTCATATGCATGAATCACGCTTTCATTTATTATGCTTTGAATTATTGTGAACCCGATGTTGTGTTGCCTTATTTGGTGTCAATTACCGGTTTACGTGTTTGTGTTTGATTGGATAATTGAGATTAAGAAAAATGGTAAAAAGGTATGTGAATTGATAATGGATAATGTCGACAGCCTCACTAGATATCCTGGGAGATGGTGGACGGATCGGGTCCATAGAGAACCCTACCAGGAACGTGGTCTCTCATATCGAACGGGGTATGGAGACTTTATGTGTTTTGACGCCCATACCGGACGGGGTATGGGGACGACCCGTTTCACCCTTATACCGGACGGAATATTGAGGTTTATGGTTTTGGCGCCCATACCGGACGGGGTATGGGGACGGCCCTGGAATTGAGTTATTAATGTGAATGGTTCACGTGTAGCGGGGACCCCCTATGCATCCCCATGGATACTAGTAAGCTGATAAAAAGGGGGTAATTGTTGCCTGATGATTGAAATACAAAAGCAAGATATGTGTTATGTTACAGAGTGTGCGTAATCTTATGATATCTATGATGTAATTGTTTTCATAAATTGTTTTCATGAATCTTACTGAGGTAGGTGGACAGTAAATGGTTTTATTATTGATAAATGAGTTTGTTATAAATTATACTCCATTGGTCAATTTCGTTTTCTACCAACCTTTACTTTTGTGACAGTGAGATAGTGTGATGTCTTTACTGGGCTAGTGTAGCTCATTCCTTACTTAACCATTTCAAATTAGGAGGACTTAGTTCCCGAGCCCGTTCTCTAGGAAGATGGCGAGTAGAAGCCAAAGAATTTATTAGTATTCCTTACAGCATTCATTCATAGTATTTCCTTTAAGTTAGTTTATTCTTTCATACTTTAATTCGTTTTGGTTATTGTATAAGGGATGTTAATCATAATCCATTTTATTTCACTTTCGCACTTAAAATAAATATATATACATTTCCTTTTAATTTCCGGGGCCGTTACAGTTGGTATCAGAGCCGCGTTTCTCGGACCTGTCCCTTACACAATAATACTTAGAGGAATTCCAAACTTAGAATTATTACTCAACCATTCCTTGTGAAATGCAGGTGCAGAGAGATGAGGAGAGGGAAACCCCCACTAAATTGAGTAGCTCGGGATGATTCGCTTCGGGAGGATGTTGACAGAATATTTGAGATGCTCGAAAGGATCATGGCTGCTCAACAAGGTCGAGAGGAGAGAAGGGAATTACCCGACCCTCTCCCACTACCACAGTTTGAGCCACCCCGGCAAGAGGCTGCTCCTCCACAGTACCACCCGACACCATCGCCGTAGTATAATTCGGGAGTCTATCCTCAGCCAGGCCTAGTCCCTCTTCTACGGGACCCAGTTCCTTCCCTGATTGACCCGGGCTACGTAGAGAGGTACATGAGACTAAACCCTTCCACTTTTGCAGGAGAGTCCTCTTTCGAAGATGCCCAGTACTGGTTGGCAAAGACAGAGAAGGCTTTCAAGACCTTAGGAGTGGTTCCTGAGCAGAGGGTTACTCTTGCTTCCTACATGCTGGTGGGGGAAGCAGATCGTTGGTGGGAGCTCAAGCAGACCACCCTGCCCACGCTTGTCACTTGGGAGCAGTCCTAGCAGCCTTTCATGCTGAGTACCTCCCCGAGCACATCCGACATTTAAAGGAGACAGAGTTTG